GCTTGTCTTATTGCTGTTATCTTATCTAACAAACCCTCAAAACTAGACTTACCCTATTGAATTTAATCAGTTTTCTTGAGAATCTGCTCCTCCTTCTATAAATTGAGTAATTTGAGCTTTAAGATGCTCCTCGCATGCATACAACTACCCGAAACCATTAACATTTACGTTGAGTTTATTAACTAAATATGTCTATCTAAAATATAGACAGAATCTGAATCTATCAGTGAACAAGATGTGGATATCCACTTCGCTTTTCCGCTGCCAGGCAAACCGCAGTCCGACAACTTGTATTCGCTGTCGAGATGTTAACCTGTGGGTCTTATTTGGCATCTAGTCGTATTTCTAAATGCGACACTTATTATTTACACCAATTCGGCCCCGGTGACGTGCCTGATATTGCCAAAGAGTGGTAGAAAATTTTTCAAGTATGATTTAATATACGCATTACGCAGTCACTTCTGAAACTTATTTTTATTGCATTAATAAAATTATTTTACTGTAATTATGATAATTAAAACACCACCTACAGTCATCCGGCTCAAAGGACCAAAGTGTTGAAAGTAGCTCACTGAATAAAAGAAATCTCGATACTGATCAAAAACTTGGTCTAAAGTTATTTAGAGAGAACTTTCTTCACTTCTGAAACACAATAAAACAAATCTTGTTTCTTAGATAAATTATAAAATTTGATTCCTTTAATTTTCTTTTCTTTTTAATATTAACTCTTATACGTTAAAAACAGCAATTTACCATGTATCATGTCAAGCATGCGTAAAAATCTGCCTTATACATAGTTTCTAGAATAAATTATCAAATTTTATTTGTAAAATTTTGTTTTTCCCGAGCGTAAAAAAGTTTCATGTTTTCTCGACATTTCATCACCCTTAAAGTATGAAAAAATGGATCTCAATTTTATTAAACAGAAGATCTCTAAAACCACTGAAATGTTGCAAACGTTTTAAGGTTATCGTAATATTGAAAAATCGTTAATCACAACTTAAGGGTACTGTGTATACCAAAGAGTTTAGCAAAATATGACTATTCTAATGTGAAAATATCTAGTGATGACAAGACTGTATAGACTGACATTTTAGGCAAGGATGATTTAAAAAAAAATCATACATAGTATAGAATTTTTGTAATTATGATCGTATAGTACTAGTTTTTGTGCATTTATTATTATTAAGTATTGTTCAATGTAGTTGATTGTTGTCTAAATTATACGTGAATATATGAAGTTGGTTAAGTTTTCTAAAATTACCCATATACAGGGTGACTCATATAAATTAATTAATGAAGCAAATTATTTTACTGTTTTTATTTTCTGAATGGAATAATAATAACAAATATAGAACCATATAATTTTGCATATTTTAAGCAAGATGTACGTAGCAAAATTCTCACATGACACGAAATTTTTGATGCAGATGAACGTATAACTTTTGTTAGCGTTTTACTGTCTTAATAGTAATCGAAGAGTCCTTATATAATTTCACAGTAATCTGTTCAGTTGTAGTTAACAGGCGACAAACAGACGGAAACGGAAGACCCACCGTTTTATGTTCTAGGAGTTATGGAACATCCAGAAGTTGTGAAATTAATCATTCGTCAATTTGCTGTTGCTAGTTTGCACTCGGGAGAGATTCACAGTTAAATAAAACGTCTTGTTTTGTGTACAGATGAACTTAAGGATGCATCAGTTGATTATAATAAAAAATAATTGTGGAAGTAGCAAAAATTTTGGAACTGTGATTTATTTATTATCGCAAGCCGAATGATTTGGAGTTGTTTTCGTATTCAAAGCGGGTTACCAAAAATAATAGAGATTACCCGATATGAAAGTGTGCCATGTATATTTCGCGTTTGTTAAAATTCAGTCAGATGTCTCCCAGGAAATATGCAGCAGTACACGTTTAAATGCTGAAATAATGCATTTATTTATATGCAAAGCGCAGAGGTAGAGATATGTATGTATGCAATTGCGCACCCTACTGATTATTATATTAACTGAGAGGGTTACGGTAAGAATTGGCGGTGCGGTTCGCTGAAATATTTAGGGTTTACGAAACTTCCAGCTGCACTTTTACAAATTGATTTGATTTAAATTTGTGAGAGATAGAATTTTCCGAAGCTCAAAGTGAACCATTTGAGGAAAAATAGTGGAATTAGTAGCTTAGCGAGTAGCAAAAGTGTTTGTTGCTAGTAATTACTAGTTGGAAAGATGGAAGAGACAGGTTTTCCGGCTCTTACTTTATCCCAATCTTCGATCTTAGCGGTATTAAGTACACACAAAAGTTAAACAACCCCAAACATCTCACGAGATTTCTTACGTATAAAATGAAGTCAAGTAAAACCGTGGACGTGACTTGGAATACCTTACCTCTAATAAATGTTTGTTGTTTCTTTGAGCTTTTCACCTACATGGAGGCCCAAGCTATTATTTTTAATTAGAACGCTTTGTGGTTGATTTTTCGTGACGCATGAGGACATCGGATCATTTGCATAATCTTAATTGTGTTTGCAGTGCCGCTGCTAAATGTCTCCTTCTGAAAACCGATTAAACAATTTTACGATGTTGTTAGCTAGTTCGGCTTGGTGGTAGTAGACGCTCATTATTCGAAGGTGTTCAATAGACATCATGTGAAGCTGCAGCACGTTCGGATCGATATGCCGTTAGGTTTGCAGCGAGTAGTCTCAATAGCGACAGGATATTCTCCCTGTTATGCACTTTCTACTCGTTTTCCTTAATAAAACAGCCCGAAACTTGACCTATAATGATGTCAATTCGTTTCAACAATCTACCATTCTCCAGATTTTCACAACAAGTCCGCAAACTTTGATTTTCCTATTCAAACATTGCCAGTATCTAAATGACATCAATTCAACCTTTTAAAACTTTAATTATTTAACAGCCATTTTAACTTTCAATTGTCTCTAATAAATCGATAAGACTCGTAGATGGCTATGCTACGTCACAATATTCTCATTAACGATCCCCATGCCAAAACTTCTATTTTGAACATACAGACGAGTCGGACGGTATATTCGCCTATTATCACTCCTTTAGCATGTATATAACTAGTTCCATTAAAGAAAAATTGGTCTAAAATTGTGCAGACAGAACTTCCCTCGCCACTGGAGTACAACCAGGATTTAAGGAAACATGCTATGTGTATGTTACAAGTGAATTTTTCTTAATAAAATTTTGCAATGACCAACTTTTTATTAATACGGACAAGTATATCAGTTTGGACATGGTAACACGAACAAGAACAGTACTACTTTATTCGCAGAATTTTACGATAATGGGATGCATCGTTTTTATTTAAGCAATAAAATAAATCACTGCATTCATTAATTTTTTGGGACACCTGTACAAGGAATTTTGAATTTAAAAAAAATATATGCATTGATAAACCACAAGTGTAGGCTCATAATATTGTATACTTTGTCATCGACTTTTTGAAGGGGATAAACAGATAAATTTTGATTAACGATTTACTATGGTTCGAAAGCCTTGAGATTTTTGAAAGAATTCCGAGCACTGAATTTTGTAGTTTTTAAATTAAAGTGTAAAATGTCGTTATAAAATTTTGATTTTATTTTCCAAAAATCTGGATGTTCGAGGTAAAAAGTTGGTCAACTTGCCCATGAAGTAAGTACATGAAACTTGTATAACAACAATTTCCAATTTAACTTTGAAACTGCAAAACCGAATGCTCTGAAATTTAGCATGGTAAATCAAAAAATTGATGCCGTCATCTCAAAATTTAGCCGCATAAATATCATGTAAAATATATAAAATGTTATGAGTCTATACTTAGGGATGCATTCATATTTTTTAGAACTACTTAAGCAGGTTGACTAAAAAAAATGAATGGAGCAATTTATTTTATTTATCAACTCAAGAACGGCTTATCCCATTTTTTCGAAAATTGGAGTATACAGCGATGTTGTTAATAGTATTGCACTGCACCTATCCAAATTTATATCCGTGTCCCTGTTAAAATGTTGATGACGTCACACAAAATTTGTTGCAAGCTCTCTTGAAACATACTTCTTTACTTGTACTTTAACAGTCCAAACATATCTTTATTTTGACTTATGGGGATTGCCATAAAGATCTCGCAAAATTAAATTTTATCATTTTTTGAAGAATATGTATTTGTTCCACTGTATTTTAGGGGCGAGGGAGTTCTGTCTAAATAATTTTAGATCAAGTTTTGTAATAATGAGGGTTTGTTACTGGCGTCGTTACATTTGAGGAATAGCTGACGAAAATACTGTAACTGCATTTCACAGCTCGTACCATATGACAATACAAGTTTCCGTTTCTCTCTAAAAATGACGGTGTAGACCGTATTTCTATCTAAATTGTTATTAAATTATTAATAACTAATTATTTAACTATCTATCGGACATGCAGTTCATTAAAACAAACCAGACTTACGAAGTTAATTTTTCAAGTTTGAAGTTTAATATTTTCAATAGTTGATGCAGGGATTTTTTTTTAACCATCCTTTTATATAGGTGTGAAGTAGCAAATTCTCACCGTTCGCAAGTTAGTTTCATAATGTAGCTGTTACGGTTTGGCACACAATGAACAACTTTCACCTATGAGAAACAGTATAAATTTTGCGTCAATAAAATTTTAACACTGTTTTAGCCAAGGTAACTGTTTTAAGAATTACATTACCCTTGTCATTGCCATTGTCAGTGATATAAATAAGTAGTTAGAAATATTACGCTACCGTATTATATGGTGGTTTAAATATTTCACTGACACGTTTGTGGACGCGGCCATCAATCTGATTGTCGTGATAGTTAAAAATAAATTTGTTCTATATTTACACTTTCCTTTAAAGCTGAGTCGGGAGTATTTGATCACTCCAAATAAGAAGGGCTTTGATATTCTTTGAAGGCAATTTCAGAAGCTCTCTCTTTATATTGATAGACTGTTAGATGAATTGCGTTTTGACGTTGGTCTGTTGTTACAGTGGTCGTCGAGGAGCCTGAATTTACAGACATTATAGAGAATATAACAGTGGCGGCGGGCCGCAATGTAAAGTTCGCATGCTCCGTCAAGAATCTTGGAACTTACAAGGTAGGTAAACATTTACCTCAATTTGTCTTTTAATTGTACCTTGAATAATATATCATTCGGAGGAAACAAACGTAACTTTATGTACAAATTTTATGAAGCATGTTGTCGTCGTCTTTTTCCGAACTCTGTTCTCATGCATGAAATGCCTCAGATACATTTAAAAATAAAGGTGCGATAATATTTTATGCAAGATCGTGCGAAAATCCGGTAAAAATATTCAGTCACATTTTGCTGAAATAGTCATGACTTTATGGTGAGGATTTATTTCACCGACAGGCGTCCCAGAGGTCTACTTTACAACTTTATTGACGCCCTAACTCACTAAACTTGTGTAAAAAGCAGCCACGTTTGTTTAATGCTTTTTTATAGTTCAGGAGTCGTCAAGATGTGGTTATGAATTATTATCGTCTACTTTATTACAATTTCCCATCTCTGATGAATAATGATACGTTCACTTTTGCAATTGTCGAAACATTTATTGAATACCCAAAAAATATCACTTGATAACGCAATGTGAAATCCTCAAAAAATATTATATTTAAATTTTAATATACAATTTATATTACTTTTATCATAAATATAAAATAAAAAGTTCGTATCTGAGATTTTAAGAAACTTAAATTTAAAGTGCAAAAAATTTATAGGAAGGGCCGAAATTAGAATATTAGCATTAGTGAATATTGTTACCTCATATGCTTAAGGGTAGCAGATTAACATTAGTGAGATAGAAGACTTTGGCACTGATTCAATGGGTTACAAATATTGGGCACTTACTAATCCAATTACACCAGTGCAGTGTATGGAAACAGCGACCTGCCGGACGTCACTGGCAGCACCCTCTTTTTACAGAAAATCTCCATGTGGTTTATACCGCTAAAGAATTAATAACTCGAAAGGCTACACAATTCAATGAAAAGGTGTAGGCTGCGGTTTCGACCTCTTTTGGTCTCAAAATAATTAAACTCTTAATGACTACCTACTTAGATGCATCTTGCCAGACAAGACTTGTTTTTTGAAAATTAAAACACAACAGGTAATATTTAGTTTTAGGTGGTAGATTTATCATACTGGAAAGATTTTAGGCGAGTAAAACACCCATGAAAAAAAGTGGATGATTTCTTTTGAAATATACTAGAAAACTATATAATAGTTTGCCAGTTCCTGCAACTTTTAGTCAACAGAAGTCGCCAATGGTTTTAGGTTTCTGACACAAGGTAACAATCCAAATCGACATAAAGAATGTCACTCTTCCTCAAGAAAATTTAAGTTTAAAAAAAAAACATAATTTAAGTTTGCTCGGTTGTGGTTTGGCTTACTAATTTTGATTACCAACGAATAAGTCACTAGATTTTCATAGTTTACATTTAATACGCCTCCACTCTCGAACGCATATTAGTCGTTGGTATTTTCCTAATTATCATTCAACATTATAATCTGATAAGTTCAAGTCTGCCGTCAAAATGTATCGCCCTGAAAATTAAAATTTAGTTTTTTTTTAATTTTTGTCAAAATAAAACAATAGTTATTTAGGGTGGTGGCTGCTTTTCATTGAAATATTGTTAAATTTGTTATATGTGGCATAATATATTTCTACACGTGACAAGTGATTTTTAAAAAGTATTCCTAATAAACTTTTATAAATTGTACAATATGGATACATTTTTTGTTATAGTACAACAAAGGCTTATCTGTGCGCTACATTTGCTGCCATAATTATGTCTTCACGACGAGGATTTATTTCACTAACAGATGTCCTAGAAGTCTACTTTATAACATTATTGACATCCTAACTCACTAAACTTGTGTAAAAAGGAGGCACGTTTATTTAATGCCTTTTTATAGTTCAGGAGTCGTCAAGATGTGGTTATGAATTATTATCATCTACTTTATTACAATTTCCTACCTCTTCTGCATAATAACACATTCACCTTTGCAATTGTCAATCCATTTGCTGAATTTCCCCAAAAACGCTATTTGTGCGGTGACAGCGTGATGTGACATCACAAAGCACCCTATCATCATCTTATTTGCACTGACGGAAATAACGGCCGAAGCTGTGCAATACTGTTACATTTTTGAATATTCTCTTCTAATTTTTCAGCGGTTGTTACATCTGTGTCTCTGTTCTGAATCACATTACCGATTCTAATTACTTTCATTTTGACACACCCTCTGATTCAAAATTAAATTTTATTAGCTCGGGCTACATGTTCCAAAGTACTTTGGTCTAGGCTACCCGAAAGAGAATACATTGTCGTGTGGCCTTTCATTATTTTTTTATTGATGTGAAACCATTTATCCGGCAACGATTCCACGGCACTGATAATAAAATGAAACATTACTTGATAATATGACGCGAGGTTTAGATTTTGATTTTGTTGGTTGTTCAAACGCGTTTTGAAATGTGATTCTTTTAATATTAGATGTTTCTTTGTTTTGTTTTTTGTTAGAAGCGGATCTTAAATAAAACACGGAAATTGCAACTTAACCACGAAGGGTACACTTTTTCTATTGCTGAATCGTTCGTCTAGTGGAAAATAGAACGATTTAGTATGCAAGAAAGCTCTTCACACAGTGACGTGACTAATAATAGCGTATATTAGGTTGATCACTTTTTTGTTTGAGTTTCAAAAGTAGGTTAAGTAGATATTTTAAAAAAAGGGTGAACCTCTGTGATTAAATTTGGGAATGCAACTTTTAAATTTTTAAGTTTCGACTCAAATATAGTTTTCGCTAATTCGCATTTTAAAACATGTCAAAGCTTCTATGTTTTAGTCACATATTAATTTTCACCCGTTTTGTGTTTCGATATTTAGTTTTAATATTTGTAGTTTACAGCTGTGCTAGTGAGTCTCACTGTTGTCATTTTTGAATTTCGAAGCTTTTTGTTCCTCAAACCCTAAACTTTTAAATCATTTTATTTATTATTTCCCAGGCGTGAACAAGGGAAGAACTGTAAGAGAGTTCATTTTGCGAATGGTTACTTTCATGTTTTCATAGCTCCTAGAATATGAAAAGTTAGACCTCTCGTTTTAGTTTGTTTCCGTCTGTCTTTCTGTTGTCCGTTCGCGATTTTATTATAATTTTTGCAACTATCGAACAGGTTGTTGTGAAATTTTAGTTATTTTAAGCTAAAACACTATCAGAAGTGATGTATTTATACCCACTAAAATTTGCAGTAATCAATTTTGTAACGTTAGACTTTTTTTTACTCACATTGATCCTACAAAATTTTACGTTTGTGGATTTACGTACCGTACTTTTCATTTCATTAATTTCGTGATGTCTATGACAGACTAAATTTGCCACAAAATACTGAAACGTTTACTTTAAAAATTTGTTTCAACGTCAACTTCTCAGTTCACGATTTTTATCTTTAAGTTTCTAAGTGCGTTTTTTAATTACAAAATTGTGTTACTTATCTCAAAAAATTCATTCAGCTTATTCGAGGAAGAATTCGAATCACCAAGTTTCCATTTTAGATCTCAATTATGACAATTTTGAAATTTCGGGTTTTTAAATCTGGAGATTTTGACATTTTAATTTAAAGCTTAAAATTTTGAGGACCCTACACTTTCTTTTTTAAATTCTTAACTTTTAGAATTAAGTTTAAAAAGTAGATATTCAGTATTTAAGTATAATAAATTTCTGATATTTATTAAGATCAGTTACTATAGGCGATTTTACAAAAACAAACCTTTAAATTTTGTAAAGCTCAAAACTGTCACTTTTCTCTGAGTTTTCAAAATCTTAAAGTTTCTTTATTAACACTACTACAGCACTGTTAAATTTCTACGATTCAGATATTTCGACGGTCACAATCAGTAAATAAATCACGAATGTTTAATATTAATTTCAAATTTCGAAGCCAATGCAGGTTTTATCTATGAAAGTTTAACGTCTTTAAATTTAGAAGCTTTTAATAGCTGGCGAATTCATTTTAAAGCTACCATTTTACATATTAAAATTTGAATTTTTAACTCTCAACTCTTTACTGCAATAATTTTTATCTCCGCAACCGCACAAAATTTTAACACAATGGCAACGCGTTTCAGTAAATATGCTACGTATCATCTTTTTTGTTTTGCTCCAGAAAATAATAGTCGATAATCGTGGATTAAACTGGAAACTTCAATATCTCAATTCTTACATTTGTTTAATATTTCATACATATCTTCATTTTAAAATTTTTAGACGTTGTCTTAAAAACAAGTAAATTTCGCAAAATCAAATTTTATAACTTTGCGAAAAAACTGGATGTTTTATTGTACTTTCGGGGTGAGGGAAGTTCTGTCGAAATAACTTTAGACAATTTTTAAATCATGAAACATCACTCTTTAAGTTATATTCTGAGTGCTCGTATTGTCATTTTTACTGCTCGAGCGTAAGCTGAGAAAATCGAGTGGCTACTTTCATCTTTTCATGAATTTTCATGATCCTGATGATGAGTATGGAGAAATAAGTCTCCGTTTCCGTCTATCATCTGTCATCTGTCATCTGTCATCTGTAGTTTGCAGTCTGTTATCTGCCTGTCTGGATCGATTTTTATGAGACAGGTAACCTCCGCACAGTCTCTAACTTGTAAATCCGAAGGTCCCGTGTTCGAAGTGCTGATTTGGAGCCTTTTTTTTCTTAAACTGTGACTCTTATTAACTAATTTGTCTACATTTCTACTTCCCGAGCGTAAGCTAAGGAAGTATTGCAATCAATTCCATCGGGCGACTGGCTACTTTCACATTTTCTCGATATCCCGTTTCCGTCTGTATGTCTGTTTGGCTGTCTATCTGTCGATTTTTGGACAGATAATCTCCGAAACTACGGGACCGATTGTTGTCGAATTTTATATGTATATCTATTATGAATATCATTTACTTAGATGGTAAAACGCTAACCAAATTTTTGTCTAACCCCACCAACAACGTGATGAGGTCATTTCAAAATTGCATAAAATAACACGTGTAGTTTAAGAATCCCTTTTTGTTTTGGAAAAAAATCAAAAT